GACCTTATAATAAGTGCATATTGGGTAGTCACAAAGTACAGAGCAGGTTATGTGTTTTATATTGTTTTGGTTCTGTACTCCAGCACACTGATGATGAAGCATTCAGTCCAGTCACCAAAAGAAGGTGTTGGCATTGTACATTTCATACATATCATATCAATGTTTCTAAAGTGATGTAGTATATGAGCTGACTTTGTCATGTGGATGTGGAGGGGATGGTGGATGGTCAGTCACCTCGACGAGACAACTGCCAAGCTGCAGACCACTGTTCGAGACCAACAAACGACAAAACCGGTTGTGATTTCATGAGTCATTGCTGTGTTTCCAGCTGCTTTTTAGTCATCAAATGTGGGTGACTGTCCGTTTTTTTTGGCAGGTATTGTGCCATCAAAACTAGGTTTAGCCAAAACATGATCTTTTCCTAGCCATTATTGAGTGTTTTGTGCCTAAATATAAACAAATGTTAACCACAATGTTGTTGGAATGACAAGGTTAAATGTATCTGCTACATAATTACATGCAAATGTAATATATCTGTGGTTTGCAGAGACATTTCTGCCTGACTTTTTGGAGGGTTTTTGTGTGTCCTTGAGGAGTTCATCCATGTCTTATTTTCGACAAAAAGCCATTCAGAACTATGGTAACAATGTTCATATCAATATCTTTATGGACCGCTTCCCTCTCCGCAACACGCCAGCACCTCACTGCAATAATGTGTGTTCTCCTTCAGTTCTTTAATGAACTGGTTCCAACAATGTTGCCACTGTGTCCCTGATCAAGGTCACATAAAACTCATCTATAAAAGTTGTTTTATGTCTCCATCTCTCTAACAAAGTGTTCAGTGATGTGGTTTTCCTATCTATCAATATAAGAGTGTCTTCTTATTTTGATTTTCTGTTAAATGTTCAGTTTCAGTTGGTGGCTGTTGCTAACTGTGCAAACTATCCATTTCCGTTTATACTATCATTTCCAACAAACACACCATTAAGCAGATGCTGTAGAAGCAAAACAAACATTTGCATGAAATGTCCAGGATTGTCAAGTTAGCAACTGTCCTATGATCCGATACAAATAGTCAGATGTTTTGCAACCAGCTTTGTTTTTTGACTTTGACTTTGCCCTCCTCAAATAACACCACACTTTATTGCTCTGTCTCCCCTGTGTTTAGTCCTGATTTATAAGAAAACCTGGAGTGTTGCTATAGACTCAGCCGACCTCACTCTCAGCTCACTCCTTGCGGCGTCTGAAGAGCACGTTTACAAAAATGAGAATATCAGCCAGAGTGAGATAATGTGCCCGGCACACAGCTAGCGTAATATGCTTTGATCTACTTCTGACACCGCAAATAATGGAGAGAGAAGGAGGGGAAGGGAGGGAGAGGGAGAGAGACAGCCAGAGGAGATAAGATGAGAGGAGAAACACAACAGGGAACACACCCACTTATGAAACCAGAAAAACACCGGGACTTTTTTGTTGGCTCTTCACACCTCAAGCTCCTGCTCACGGAAAACCCTCCACTCTTTCCCTGTCCTTATCGTTCCTCACTATCCACCTCTGTCCCTTCTCTGATCCCTCTCTGTCCGCTCGCCTGGCTCAATGACAATCAAAGGTCAAATGTCCCCTCCCTTTAGTTAGTGAAATCCCCAGCAGCCTCTATCTGTTCTCTCACAGGAGCTGATGAGGCTTTGATGGGGCATTTAAAAGACAGAGGGAGTTGATTGTCCTCTGGTACAATGTGTGTGTGTCTGCATACATGAGCATGTGAAGGCAGGATGCACCAGCTGCATGTTTCACTTGATGGAGAGTGATGATACACACACACACACACACACACACACACACAGAGGAGTGACCATGCTCTCTTTGAAACAGACAGCACAACAGTCTGAAGTATGTCTCGTGGGTCTTAGTGTCTGTAGTGAAGAGGCTTCTGTTGAAGGTTTAAAGCTGTGTGTATGTGTGCTGCTGTGCTTCCATCTTTATGAGGACCAGTGTTAGACCTTGAGACTGAGGACATTGTTGGAAAGTGAGGACATTTTGTTCTCCTGCAAAGACTTTGGTTATTTCAAGGGTTCAAGGGACTTTCTGTATGAAGTAATATAAACTAGAATAATACTGCAGCCATTGTGCGTAATTTTCCAATATTCAGTAAAGGATGGAACAGTTTTTGGACATATTTGAGGAAACCATGTCTCAGCTTCAGGCCTCTGGTTAACTGACGTTTGAGAGCTGGCGTTCTTAAGAGATGCGCCGCCGATTTAAGTGCTGGTGACTGGCACATCTAAGCTGTGTTCTGATACAAAATGGTTATTTTTCTCCTATAGACCAAATAACAATGTTTGTTTACATTTACTTGTAATGTAGAGTATCCCTACCTCACATACATACAATGGAATGGCCCTGAGCAAACAGTGCCTCATTTGGTGAGTTTTTGCCCCCTAAAACAAGGCCCACATTCAAAATATCAATATCAGTTTAAGTGTATGCTGTAATTATAATATTTTCACCACTTTACCTTGTCGTCAAACAGCTCTTTCCGACGAGCCACCAGACTTCATTGACAAAAACACAGAACATAACAGTGAGTTGCTGGTCTACCACTGTCTCCATCAGGTAGTGTGTAAAGTGGAGAAAGTATTTCAAATGTAGCATACACTTTATCTAATACTAAGTCTTTTTAGGTTGCTTAAATACATTTACTGCAGCCCCCATCCACATCAGTACATTGTTAAGCTTCCAAGCTAGTAGATTTAGTTTCTCAGGATGCCATCAAAGTCACACAGTACATATGATAAGCACAGCAGAAAAGTCAGATAGGTCGGACCACTGTATTAAACTATTTATCTTTAAACGTTACAGTTGCAGGTGAAAATTACAACAGAAATAAACACGTTGGCCATTTCGCATACCTCCAGTTGAAATTAATTGCCAGTTGTCTACCTGGAAGTGACTGCTGTTGCCGTGTTAGCAGTGACTTGGTCTATAATGTTGGTAATGTGCCTTTAGCAGCTCCGGACATCTGCCTCTTTACAACATTCAACAGTTGGAAAGCTCCCTTGTGGTTTAAGCTTGTATTTAACTTAGAAGGTGAAAACTACATAGCACAGCTTGATAACATTAGCACTAATGCCCACTACCTTTTGTTTATGTTATTTCAATTCCCGGCACACTCAGTGCTGTTTTTGGTAAATGGACTAGATTTATATACAGTGCTGAGATCGAAAGAATGTTACAATTTTCTCCTCATTCACAACTACGGCTGCAAGCTATCGAGGCGCTGTCCAAACCATTGGGAGCAACTTGTGGTTCAATGTTGCACTCAAGGGCACTTTGACATGGGGATATGTTGGTTAACTGCTTGTGGGGAACTTAAGCAATATTATCAAATATTTTAGTGCAACCTGGTCACCAGAAGGAAATGTTGGCATTGTCTGCAAACCATGAAAACGTAACATGTGTCTGTTTTATACGTGTCATATCAGTGTTTCTAAGGTGACGTAGTAAACCTCAGTGAGAAGCCTGCCAAGCTGCAGATCACTGTTTGAGACCAAAAAACAACACCGGTTGTGTTTAAGCGAGTCATCACTGTGTTTCCTTTTGCTTTCTAGACATTGCTGCTTTTCCTGCCGGGTTTGTGCAGCCAAAACTGGCTATTTTAAGCCAAAACGTGATCTTTTCCTGACCGTAGCCAAGTGTTTTTGTGCCTAAACCTAACCACACAATAACTACAGCATTGTTGGAATATTAGGTTTCAATGTATCAGTTGAATAATAATGTACAAATTTATCATATCCATGGTTTGCAGAAACACCAACATTTTCCTACAGAGATTGGGTTGTCACCCACCCATACTGATATTCCACCAATCAAATCATCAGTACCCTATAATTCAGTCAATTAAGCTCACTCCCCCAACACCAATGTAGGGGGCGCTGTCACTTCAAGAAAACAATTAAAACTGAAATTTCTCATTTTAGGTCATTCCAATTTTCAAGTCAGACACACAGAGAAAGTCTACTGATTCTTCAGCCACAATACATTCTAATTTCAGTTGGACTGAAAGTTAATGCATTATGTCAACAATGGTCTTCACGAGTATAGCACAGAGTCGTGTGTGTCGCTACCGGCTCCGTTGACTTTGCAAAACTGACCTACATGTGCAGAGCATTCAGACTCACACCTGAGTTTAACCGAGCCCGGTTCTGACTCATCCTGCACGAGTCATGCCCCGAGCTTCCTGTGTGTGTGTGTGTGTGTGTGTGTGTGTGTGTGTGTGTGTGTGTGTGTGTGATACCCGGTATGCACTGCCTGCGTCTTCAGTTTATTACGTCGCTGCATGACGCATAGTAGCGAGAGACAAGAGGGAGGAGAGGATGGAAGGAAAGGAGTGAGGGTGCAAGGAGGGAGGGGAATTTTCTCAGACACCCAGCATGCAATGACCTTAGTTTTATGTCAAGGCGGAGGTCGCTCTCTCTCTCTCTCTCTCTCTCTCTCACACACACACACACACACACACACACACACACACACACTGCCTGTCCGGTGTCATCCATGTGGACACGAGGACGTCAAGCCGCATCTTATTCCGCTCACATCCCTGCTGCCTGTCTGTCCCGCCTCTCCCCTCTCCGCGTCTCCGCTCCAACACACACACTCAAAACACACACACACACACACACACACACACACTGAGCTGTAATCCCAGTAGTAAACTATGCAGACACTACACCCCAAAAACAGACTCATAATGTCACCGAAAAGAGCAGCAAATCACATTTGCAGCGCTGCAACTCCCTGCAGGATTATTCTAAAAGTATTACAGGAATATTGGAGGTTTATTTCTGCCGGTGCCTCGTTGCTCCAGCTTCATCTCTTCTTCTGACCCTTTTCTTAATATCTCCGCTATGCAAAAACACAGACACGCATCCCTCTGTCTCTAATTCCCTCCCTCCCTCCATCCATCCCTACACATGGCAGAATATAAAGCGGTGTGTTCTTACTGATCGTCCGGGATCCTATGCAGCCCATGTTGTTTTACAGAGGCTCGAACAGCTCGGGGAAAATAAAATCCATCCGTCCAGCGGGCATTTCTCCCCGGATCTCTCTCTCTCTCTCTGCGCTTTCCCCTCTCCTCCTCTTCTTCTTCTTCTCCTCCTTCTCTCTGTCTCTTCTTCACTGTTCTCCTCTCCTCCGTATGTGAGAAACAGAGAGGGTGTGTATGTGCGTGTCATCCGCGTCGCTTCCCCCCTCTCTCTCTTTCTCTCTATCCGCCGTCGTCACACACTCCTGTTTCCCTCTATCACTCTCTCTCCTCTTCTGGCTCTCACGCACGCGTGTATGAACACACGCACGGTCTCACATATAAATACAATCAAGCTGTCAAAGCTAGATTACATACACTCATAATAAAACATGAACACAAACTGGGTGGAGTTTCACAGCTGTGTGTGTCCTGTTATTTGATAACATCATGCATTCTTGATTGTTTTTTATTACTTGCAGATGTTCAATCAAACATGCTCTGATTTTCATAAAGTTATGGAAAACTGATTTCCCTCAGATCTTATGTCTCTGTGCATCAAAAAGTTGTTGCTACCTGCAAGTTGTTGTCTCTGGTCTCAACAGACAAATTCTCTAAGAGACAAGAAAATAAAAATAAAGTTATTCTGCAATTCTGCAAAAGTAAAGCAATTTCCGGTTTCAAACCAGCATGAACATTTAAAGCTTGAAAGCTGGGTAGTATCAAGACCCCTGACAGTTCATGATGCCTGCATTACCAACAGGTTTTATGACGATCGGACAGATGCTCATTTATGAACGTACAAATCTCTACAGGGCCACTTCTTTGGAAACACTGCTGCTTCCTGTTGGTCACTGCAGAAATAGTTTGGGCGATGCTTCAACGGCTCAGTTTAAAAAATCCACCAAGTTTGGTGATGTATGCATTACATGACCCTAGATGATGCAAACCGATATGCTTACAAATGTCTCTTCTGATTATGAGATATAAACTTTTTGCATTTGTAGCACCCCCCAGTGGTCTATTTAAATGAAATTTTAGGGTATGATTTAGGTTTTTATGTGAACATTAGCTACCTACAAGTTTTGTAATGATTGGCTCAACAGTTATGGAGCTAACTTTTCATAAGCTTGGACCAGTAATAATCCACAGACAGTTTGTTATGAATTGGACCTATTATTTAGAAGAAGATGTGAAAAAATGTGTTTTTCAAAAAAATTCAAAATGGCGGAAAATTTCACAGTGGTGCCATTATGGTTCTTGAGGCTTTTTCATACAGCACATAGAGCTGCACTAGTGTGTCAAATTTGAAGTCAGCCAGACTTAAGGTGCGAGGGACCCGTCCTTTCTAAAATAGAATTTTGAGCCTTAATTATAGTGCCCTCATATGGCCAACTGGCATCATATTTCTTGAACAGCATTTTCACACAACTTACAATCACTGCTCAAAATGTCATGTGTCCAGCATGAACCATCTCGCAGAAACTTGGGAATTTTTTTCTTTTTTTTTTTTGAAAAACAAAGTCAAAGCAGAGACAATAGGAATTCAGCCCTTTGAGCTTGAACCCCTAATTATTATTTATATAAACCTACTAAAATCTAAAGTCTGATAGAACAGTCCTTCAATACATCCTTCCTTCATGAAGGCAGTGGTACCGATAAAGGGTAGCCAAGGTGGGCTACAGCCACCCTGATACAATCGCTGGCCCTCCTTGCAAAAATCATCAAAAATACTGGAAGGTAGTGATGGCCAAATGAAGCCTCATGAAGCATTTTCTTTATTTTATGAGCCCACTAGATGGCGGTCTTGATTCAAAAAGGATTCAACCTTTTGTTGAAAAAAAAAGCACCATCTAGTGGGCTTATAAAGTAAAGAAGATGCTTCATGAGGCCTCATTTGGCCATCACTACTGGAAGGCCTCTGTGTGGTGTTTTTTAAGATCAGAAGGCTTCATCCCAGTGACTGTTTTGTTCTTAACAGTGTACTCTTTCAAATATAAGCTATAGATTTTTTTGTCTTTTTTTCATAAATCACTGTCTTTGGACACCCTTTAAGTTTGGGAGTTTTGTGGGTTTTGTCAATATTTAAGCAATGAAAAGTATTAAAAAGAGCTTTTGACTACATTTTGTTACTCCAGTGGATCCTCAATCTGTCTGCAAAACCTCATATCTCCACCCACCTCCACTGCATGAAGTGCCTTGATAGAGCACCTGCCGCACACAGTGGAGCTAAAGGCAAACAGCAACCAGACATTTTCATCGGTTTCTTTACTCAGGAAAAACTTTATGAAGGCTAATGTGACTTTCTGCCACCAGTCCACTGTGACCCCCAGTGCTGAAGTTTGCGCTGGCTGTATGCAAGCTTTTACAGCTGCTACTGATGGTCCATCACCGGAGCTACTGTCTGTTCTTCTCCTGTAATAGTGGGGAGTGAGGTGTAGGGAGGTGTGCAAACTGGCTAATTCAAGTCTCATTTGTGTTCTTTTGCTCACGTCCTGAAAAGTAGTGATTTTGAACATAGGCAAGGAAGGCAAGGAAAAGTGATGATATTTGTGTTGGGCAATGAGCCTATTTGAAGAATAATGGATCTCCTTACTTATGTAGTCTACAGATACACAATGCATTTAAACAGGATTGTTGTAGAACTCAAAATGTAATCTGTACAAATGTTAGTCTATGCAAATTAGATATTTAATAGCATTAACTTTAAAATAAGATACCAGTATACCAGAATGTTTTTTGCCACAAAAAGCAGTTGTTTTTCACAGAGATGTTGTTGTGCTTTCAGCTGAGATTGTGCCCCCAGAACTGAGTATTTTATGCTTAAACATGATCTTTTCCAACCATAACCAAGTGGTTTTTGTGCCTCTACATAACCACAGTGTTGTTGAAATGTAAAGAAATATAAGGTTTCAAAGTATCAATAACATAATAAAATACAAATGTAACATATCCGTTGTTTGTACAATGCCAACATTTTTTTTCTGGCAATTGGGCTGATGGTTTTTAATCCTGGTACTAAATGGTGATTCAAGAAAGAAGCTGTTGTTGTTTGTTTCCAAGTGACAGTTGGTGAGGGTCTCACATCAGCTGTTTTTTCACATCATCTACATCTGACCAATTTACCCTCATATTTTTCAGTTGTTTGTAATGTTGGTGAGTTAGATGTTTGGTGTTCTTAGGAACCCTTCTTTTTCATCACCATGCCAAAGTGTCAGCCGACGGCCTGAAATGTAAATCCGCTCATATTACTGTAAACTAGTCCCACTACATGAAAAGTAGTTCCTACAGCAAGATCTTATGCTCTCAGCCTCTGCCTCCTGATGATCTGTCTGATGTATAATTTTTAGACTCACCACTGCAGGATCTGAATGTTTTATTCTGCTCCAGTAAAAGCAAGCAAGCGTTGATTGGAGCGATATCTAATGCATGTAATATGTAAATATGTATCACACTTCAGCCTGTCTTAGTCTGCAGCTGGGCTTTCCTCTCTCTAACAACGCACTACAGCTGTTCTCCTCCTCCAAACATGCCTGCCCTCCTCTCTGCCTCCCTCCATCTTGCTGTCACACAATATGAATATGAAAACACAGTGATTATTCAGCTCTAAGGAGTGCAGGCAAGGAAGGACAGCGCTCCAGACTCTATTAACTCGATCTCCATCTCTGACGGAGAACAGAAGTACAGCCTTGAACTCCACGCTGTGAACTGCACACTCCATAAATGTACAGACGACTCGGCTGCAGAGACACAACAATGACTCGCAGAGTTTTTCAGCTTGAAAACATTTCAAAAATTCCTTCTCTTTATACACAACGACTTTGAAATTCTTCCAAATTACAATACATTGTTTGTCATTTCTCTGTGCCTTCAGAAATCAAGTCAAATCACTGCTTTGTCACTGCGCTGTCAAGAGTCCATGGAGGGAAGAAGATGATGTTGGCCAATCAGACGACTGGAAAAGGAAATTTACGGAAAACTACCCAGAGCAGTGACCAGAGCGTATTCTGATGCCTCTGTTCCTCATTATAATGGAACAGTAACTGAACCTTTATGTGTGAACATGAAAAGCAGTTGGGGGTTTAGTGCCTTGTCCAAGGGCACCTCAGAAGTGCCCATAAAGCTTATTGGCACCTCTCCAGCTACTAGTCCATGCTCCGTACTCGGTCTGTACAGGGACTTCTCAAGCCAAGTCCCTAAAGATTGAGCTACTGCTGCCGAGTTAGCAAGGTTAGAGTCAGCATTATTTTAGTCACATCTGCCATTGGACAAAATTTCGCCTCCTTTGTAACACCTCATAAAGGAGATAATGCTGCACACTCTGACGTCTCCAGCCAAAAACTAATTTTCTCCCTGTCTACAGGGAAAAACACTGCAAACAAAATTTCTGAAAATTTCATCCTAGTCAGTAAAATAAATGTTGTGCATATCTGCAAACCACAGATGCATCACAGTTGTATGCGATTATATATCGAATATGCTGAAACTCTATATTTCAACAATGCTGTGGTTAACATGTGGTTAGACTAAGGCACATAAAACACTTGGTTATAGTTAGGAATTATCATGTTTTGGCTTAAAATACCCAGCTTTGGTGGCACCATTTTTTTTGTTGGTCTGTAGCTTGGCAGGCGCCTCTGAGGTGTCACACCATCCACTGTCCCTTCCACCTCTGGATGACAAAGTCAACTCATATACTACATCGCTTAAGAAACATTGATGTGATATGTATGAAACTTACAAATGAAGCATATCTGTGGTTTGCAGAAATGAACGATGCCAACATTTTCTTCTGGTGACTGGGCTGGTTTGGGCACAAAAGCTTTTTGGTTTGTGAAAGCCATGTTGACTCATCCATTCACTTAGAACCTTATTTTTGTGTCTGAGGCCCATTTTGAAAATGGATTTTTTTTTTCTTGTGTTTTGGTCTTTTGTCCACAAGCAAATTGCATTTCATGTCACCAAAAGCTGACCTTTGGTAAGACTCTGTCCAGGGTGAAAATTTTCCAGTCCAGTCACCAGAAGAAGATCTTAGCATTGTGCATTTCTGCAAACCATGGATATGCTACACTGTACATTTCCTAAGTATTGTTAGTGATTTCCAGTGACATAGTGTATAGGCTGAATTTACCATCAGAGAGGTTGAGGGGAT